TCAAACCCCCCCCCCCCCCCCCCACCCCCCCCCCCCCCCCCCCCCCCCCCACCACCACCAAAAAAAAAAAAAAACCCAAAATGAACCCAAAAAAAAGAACATGTGAAGGTACCTGCACAATTATCTGAAGATTTCCTCTCAGATTTACAAGCAATAGGTCTTTCATGCACTCTAGAGCCCACTCCTTTGAAAGAGTCCCAAAAAACTCCACAAGAGCCTGGAAGAACAGGTCGTCAAACTTAGTTTAACAAATAGGAGGCAGAACCATTAATATCAATGCCAGCTACAAACCTGTGGCTCAATCGCATGAGTATTCACAATGACACGCTTAATATCAGGCAATTCTGAATAATGCTGCAGTAATGAGATGGTGTTAACCCTGTAAAATCTCCCAAAATATGAATGGACATAAAATTTAATTGACACACAAAACGAGAGTTCAACCTGAAGAGCACGGATATACAAGCCAGCCTTCTCACATAGCTGACCTATCCTGGGACGATCATAGTGACTGAACATCCCATTGGCTAATATAGCATCCGCAACATTTGGGTACGTCACAAGATTGATCTCCAGCACCTGTTCCCACACACATATGTAAGTGCAATCATATGGAAAATTAAATATTACAGGAGATGAAATCTTGCAGATATCTTACCTTTGTTTGAAGGAAAGCATGTTCTGGAAGATTTGGTTTCAAGACATCCAACAGAAATGCTGTTGCCTCTCTGATCAAGTTTCTCTGCAATATAAATGCGAAGACAGAAAACATCACTACATCAGGAATATACTTAACTAGGCAATAAACAAACTTCATCAGAACGTATACAGAAAAAACTCGCACAAACTATCATAAGTTCACGTAAGGTACATGAGAATGATTATTGCAGTTAAACCTGAAGGAAGAGGTCTGTGATGGTATTATAGTCAAGTGGACAGCCTCCCTCCATTTGGGACATCATAAGAGCAAAATTCACTGCACCCTGCCAGAAAAAATTTCTATTGAGAATGGAACTGGATCAAATTGAAAAGTAAATAAAGCTACTGATTACACAAGTAATTGGAAAATAAATTTAAAAAAAAGACAGGATGCACAGTATTTCCATGTAGGAGAGTGCCTCAACAAAAGAAAGTATTAAGTTAAATTATGAAAAAATCAAAACCTAGTAAAATTGTTAGGAGTGTCGTAGTTCAAAAGTAATATGGTCATACTTAATGGGGAACATTGAAAATAAAATACCTGAGGATCTGATCTCAGAATGGTCTGGAGGAGGAAAAGATAATCTGGCGTGTATCCAACCTGTACCAGACAATAGAAAGAATCCATCATGAGAGTCCAGCTTCGTTCAAAAATTATTTGTACAGTCAGCACAATGTCTCCATGACGAATACAACAGAAGAAGTCACATTCATATTAATGAGATATGTCTGTCACCTGCTTTGAATATATCAGGATCTTGTCAAACTCCCTTCTTTCAGCAAACGCCGCAACAACTTTCGGAGTAGCTCTCGCTTTTATGTATATTTTCAGAGCAAGGTCATTGTCAACAGTCTGTAACAGAAAGAAGAAGACAACTTATTAGAAATGATAAGAACACCAGAATAGCTTCCGTAGGAAACAGTAAGTGATTTTAACTATCTCAAAATCTAACTGTATTGAAGGTTTAAAGAAAGAAATTTCAACTCTTACCTTTACTAAGTCACCTAGCTCTTCGCTACACTCAAGCTTGTCTTCAGCTAACCAATTTTCCAAAAGATTCTTCTTGTTCTGATTTACTACAAGACGAGATAACTCCAAAGATTCAAATGCATTCAGTTTTCCCTTTGTTAACAATGTCCCAAAGTATTGCAACAGTGGTGGTGTTTGCCCAGCTTGCACAGGAACACTCTGTGTTAAGCCCAAAAAAAGAAGAAAAAAGTGAAACCTGTAAGACTAGCTTTTCTTCAACAAAAAATTTGCACAACAATATCAATTATTTTTTAAAGTAAATAGAACATGTACAGAATCTGTCTTGCAAAAATCAGCCTACACAGATACCTAGGTGGCCACCTAAGAACGCCAGGCACTGCAGTTAAGCGGCCACCTGGGTATCTGGGAGGCTTAGGAAGCCCCTCGGATGCCTACTATTCGCATCTAGCATGTTTCAGAATGCTGTTCAGGATCCATAAGCAAGATAAAGCACAGTACTTAAAAGAAAAACTGTGAATGGAAGGGGGAAACTGAGCTGCAAGCAGGACAGGATCGAGATAAAAACCTGAAATTTGGCAACAGTCTCAGGAGTCCTAAGGATTCCTTGTGGAGACTCTGCAGCAAGCTCGGCAGCCTCCTTATACTTTGTCTGGGAAAAGAGTTCTTGAAATCTTTGGACGACCTAGAATGCAAAATGATGATGAACAAGAAGGTTAATATAAGAAGAAAATCAGCAAAATACCAGGAAGCAAGTAATGCCAAATGTTAAGATTACAGAAACTGTATTAATTAAAAAATGAGTTAAATTGTCACTACGAAATACAACAACTGTGAGTAAATATGACAAGGTCTACAGCATATGAACATAATTTATATAAAAACAAAATAATTGCAATATGAGTGTGCCCAACATCAAGAAGTTGATTAACCAACATGGAAACCAGCTTTAGCAAGTACTGAACATACTGAATATATGAAGCGATCATAGTCAAAAATCACAAGCATGAGGTCATCAGAGAGATACATTTGAATCTACTCATAGAATCCAACTGGCTTGTTCTTTCCAAAAAGGACAACGAAAACCTACAGTATCCTAACTTTGGCTATTCACAACCAAGATGTGTGCAAGGGAAAAATTAGAACACTGACCAAATTCTCCGCCCCTGGAAGGTTTCCTCGTTTGGCAAGATTAACAGCAAGCTCCAAATTGTTCAGCTGTCACAGATGCAAGGAGATTCTCAATGAGACATTTATCCCAGGTGTACTGGAAGAAAAAAAAGGAAAAGGAATTTATTCAAAAATGAAAATATTACCTGACCGCTGACAAAGGGTACAAGAGTTGCTTCATTAACGGTTGCGAGAAGAACCTGCCCTTTTCTGTTGATAGCATAAAAGCCACCAATAGACGAAGCTTCTGCAGTTAGAAATATAGGATCCGGGCTAATACGATTTCTGTAGACTGCAGTAGCAGTCTCCAGATCATAGACAAATAGAAGACCAAGTTTTGTGATGACATAAATCAACCCATATTTGTGAGAGATCTGCAAAATAGATTTAGGATCAACATTTCAAGACTGTAACACCATGTTTCCAGATCAAACACAAAATTAATTTCCTCAACAGGTACCTGCATAGCTACAGGAAAGTCATCAGCAAAATCAGGCGGGAAGAACAGATCTGCTTGTTTTTTTGAAAAGCCCGGTTTGCCTGGAAAGATACACGGCAAATGAGGAGTGCCAAAAGGAAAAAAGGAAAGAAAAAAGTTCTGTACAATAATAGCATTTATGAGCTTCTCCTTTAAGAATGAAAATTTATCATATGTGAAAGATAAACAAGTGGACACAGAGCACTATAAGAGATGAGTAAGGATATGATGGGTTACCTGGCTGTGCACCAAGTTCAATCACATGCAACTTCGAAGTAATCTGTCCAGCATTGGTAGTCTTTGAAGCAAAGGAAATAAGAATAGAATCTTTATCATTTCCAGCAACCTGTAAAATCAATACGCATGAAAAGTGAAATAAGTATAAATAAAACAATGTAAGCATCAGTTTTATAAAAGTTGAAGATGGATAATGTCTCCTCACCTTAATCGATGCAAATGATGCAGCATGAGCCTCTAAAGCCTGACTACGTTGTTGATCCACTGAGAAAAGCTGCATATTTCCTTTAACCAGTTGTGGTCTCTACATGAAATATTGAGGGGTGGGAAATTAGGAATAATACAGAAGGATGAAAATTCATAGATGACTGAAGTGAAAAAATACAAAGAATGAAAATGAAGGCAAAAGTATCATGTCACAGGAATCAAGTTTACTAAATCCAACAGCCAAAAGAATGGAGTTTGATTCTGCCAAGGGATTCCTTCTAAGTATGGACTTGGAGATGTGGAAAAAGAAAGGATTGCATTCACCCCTTCAACAAGGATTTCTGCATTTAAGCTTAGTACAAGTGCAGATTGCACTAGGTTCTTATAATTAGGATCACGGCTTGTAGGCAGTGGATCTCTCCTTTGCAGGTCGGAGGATGCTATGTTCTTTTTTCACAGAAGAATCTTAGTACAGTAAATTTGCGTACACACCAAAAGGCAGTTGTGCCCTAGGGCACCAACAGGCTAGACTTTAAGAACAGAAGTATTCTGGTTTTTAAAGGAGGCAAAGCCTAAATTCATTCTATTAGTGAAAGGGTTTGAGCTGAAGCCTGCAGAAAGTCTCATTGAGCACAAATTCCAACCTTAAGTTCGTGGGGGATGTCCCGATAGTTGAGCGTTGCTCAAAGGCCATTCTACGCCTAGAGGCTCAACTGAGGTTCTTAGAGGCTTTGGGTCGAGCCGACATCCCAACGCAGATCGTGTCGTCGCTTGAGGACATCCGGGCCGAAGAAGCTAATAAGTATGAAGCAGCTCAGCGTCATATAGCTGAGAAGGAAGTTCGGGCGGAACATCTACAGAAGTTGCATGCTCAAAAACAGGCTGGGCTAGCACTCTCTAATACTTCTTTAGAGAATTTACGAGAGAAGATCATTGCCACTGAAGTAGAGTTGGCTAGGTTGAAGGCTCAATTCAAACGAGAAGAAGCCATTGTCATTGAGCTCAATGTCAAAAGCGCAACCTCTCCCCATAAAAATCATAGATCATCTACTTAGATATAACAAACAGACAGCATAGTCGTCGCTCCCTCCCTCTAATCGCAGCTAGCAGGCCACATCAACTTCAGATGAAATTAACACTGTTGTTGGTGATGGTGGTATTGGTGATGCTGACATAAAAAATGATGAATTTGCTAACTCTCAAATGTGTGAACTCACACGAATTGGGCTGTCATCATGACTCATGAGGCTTCCCACATAAGCTTTCTCTATGCATAATATTTTGGGGATCTCCTAATTGTGCATGCTTTTAGAACTTATATATAAAAATAGAAAGCTTGATGATGTCTATAGGTTGATGAGTTATAGCTGGCTATAATTAAAGTCATTTGTATCTAGATAGATCATACCCAACAATTTAGCGCAATTAGTGGAGGGAGCAGGAGTTTTGGCCTTTTTTTTTGGGGGGGGGGGGGGGGTTCTAGCCCACATGTATGAATGCTTCATGCGTTATTGACTACATTTGCTATCTGAATTAGGGTAACCTGCTGCGTGTTGTATTTCATGTTATGTGCATATGTGTTGATGTGATATAAATTGTACGGTATGCCCCCAGATAGGATAAACGATGTAGCATAAGCCAGGGAAATTGATTGTTTTGTCAAGTGTTCTTTTTACCATTATTTGGTGGTGGGATCAGTGGCCATAAGAACCATGTTATATATGAAGTGTACAACAATTGCAAAACTTCATTGCCTCATTTAAAATGTAGACCTCGTGCCATAAGACTCTTATCATTTATATTATGCCACTGATGTGCGTCTCACATACCTCAGGAGAACCAGGTGCGATTCCGATCAGAACTAGCCATTTTTCAGAAGGGTCACAGCGGTAGTTAATGATCTGGTTGTTCGTCAAATTAGCTGTTCTATCAAACATCTTTACAGGCTCAGAGTCACCTTCATATGAAAACAAATAGATACACAATAAGTGTCAAAAATAATTAAAATGGTGAAAGAAAGGTTCCAGAAGAAGATAACAAATACAATTCCATAGCAAAAAATCAGCTTTACCTTCTATTGACCAATGATAAACTGATGATTGAGTGACCAACCCCAGCACTTTTGGAGTGACCCATTTCCAGAAAACAACCTGTACATGTTTAAAATGCAAAAGACTGAGATCATTAATCTAGAAAAAAAAAAGGCTGACACCAAACAACAGCATCAATGGATACATTGATAAACAGGAATACCATAAACAAAATTACCTGTTCTGGCATCTGATGCGATTTAATTTTTGTCTTCTGCTCAATATTGAATATTTGGAGATGATCCTGAGTAGTCCCAGGTATTTGGGCTACATATGGACAAAATAAATTATAAATAAATAAACAATAATATAAATAAAAATGTCACGTACTATATGAGAAGGTAAGAAAAAAGCAGAGGACAGAGTCTTGTTAACTGAGAAGATCGAAAGGTAGCAACTAGCAAGTAGAAAGGATAGGACATAATTGTCATCAGAAAGCTACAGCAAATTCTCCATTTATGTGTTCGTTGATGGAAGCATAGTTAGAAATTAGATTCTTAAAGGTCTAATAAATAGAGATAGCACTGTGCATTTCCAACAGAATTAGAGGTAAAGATTGTTAGTCATGGTGCTAAACTATCTTCATTAGCTCACATCTACTCCTCCCATTCCCTCCCCCTCCAATTTCAGTCCCCATACTCTTTTGTGCCCATGTCCGACGCCAGACATTTGATGAAAGAGCTAGGTTACCCGGACGCTTCATCTAAGTTGTTGTACCCATGTGTGACACTTCTCGTATCTGTGTCTGTGTCTCGTGGACACTTCTTGAATACATATAAACATTTATTTAGACATGTCCTCAATATATAACACATGACACATGTTTTAGTTAAAAAACTCATGATACGTTTCTTGAACGAATTATTGTACACTTAAACCTCAAAATTATGCAACTCGTTCGACTCAGGACATGTTCGTGTTAGCACATGACTAGTTCATAAGTATGATTTTAAAGGGTCGTATGTGTATCTAGCTCAAAATTGAGCGGTTTTCTATTTATAATCTACTCAATATACAAACATAAAAAATGGTTAAAAGATTTTAATTCTCATAACATGTGTATAAAAACAATATCGATTTCATATACATTAGTAACTTAAATATGTATGTATATAGTCGTGATCCTGTATCATAAATTTTACAATTTTGTCGTGTCCCATATCTGCACCCATGTCCATGTCCACATCTGTATCCGTGCAACATAGTGAAAGAGCTAAAAGGAAGTATATTGAAGCCCTACATTGATTCTATACCACTAAAAGCTCTCCAATAAGATAACCACCATAGATGGATTACACCATGTAGTGCATTTGTGACATAGAAGATATGCACTACATCCACCAGAAGTCCTCTAAGCAAACTTTTACCATGCAATAGGCTCAAGGTTATCGATAGCGGATAGCTTCGCGTAGCGGTGAGGCATTGCTAGGGCTATTTAGGGCTATTACGGCAAACTAGCAGTAAAAAGCACAAAATTAAATAGCGGTCTAGTTTAGATATGTGTAAATACTAAAAAAATTAAAGAAAAATCTAAAAAATCCGTCAAATTAAGTTAATTAGGTATTGGGTTAATGGGCTGTGACTCGTTAACCATACCCCTATTTGTATGATTATATATATATATCTCTCTAGTATATATATATAATATATATATATACTATATATATATATATATATATAATACTAATTATATATATACTATTAATATATAATATATATATATATATGATATACTATAATATACTATATAATCCCTAAGCTATCTTAATAAATTTATCAATTAGCGGTTTTGCTCTCTTTATCTCTTCTAAGCATGGTATGCTGAGCAAGCAACCCTAACGCTATTCCGCGCCGTCAAAATCGCTCAATCCAAAAACCGTAGCCGCCGCCAGCGCATCTTCCGCCTGTCGCCGCGCCGCCCTGCTGCGTGCTAGGCTCCTGTTGCCGCCGCGCCGCTTGCGCCTGCCGGCCTACGCGCTGATACTGGCGCCGGCATTGCCCCCGTTGTTGCTGCGTGCTGCTGCGTGGTCATCTGTTGTTGCGCTACTGCTACTGTTGCTGCTGCTACTGTTGCTGTTGCTTCTCCTCTCATGGCCTCGGATTGGTGATTCGAGGCCACATATGACCCGATTTGGTCATCTATTGCTGCCTACCTACTGCTCTGCCTCTATGTTTTTCAGATCTGGTATATGTTCGGCTGAAATACCATCTTACTACTGATCTGCTCTTAGTTTATGTTTAAAGAACAGATCTCTACTACTGCCATAGCTATTTGACTACTACATGTCTATTATTATTGTGCAAAAATGACTACTACTACAATGTCAGAAATCTCCTCTACTCCTCCCTCTGCTGCTGCTGGTGAGACTTTTGCACCCAAGGTAGTCTTGGAGACTACAATAAAATTGAATGGCACAAACTATCTGCTCTGGGCACAGGCTTTCAGCATCTTCATTGGTGCTCAGAGCAAACTCTCACATTTTTTGGTATCTCCACCTCCCACCACAGATCCCACCTATAGTTCCTGGTTCTCGTCTGATTATTGTGTTATGACTTGGCTTCTCAATAGTATGAAAGCACGGATCAGTAGCAGTGTTATGTTCTTAATCACTGCAAAGGAGATGTAGGATAGCCTGAAGATTATGCACGTGAATGAGAAGAATGCTTCCGTGTATTTAAGATCTATGAGCGATTGTTTGCGCTCAAACAGGGAGATAGGTCAGTTCCTGAGTTCTTTGGTGAGTTAAAGGGACTGATAGACGACCTGAAGATGCATCAGCTACTGCAGGCTGATGCAGTGACATTGTTGGGATATCGTCGTAACCTGACAGTGTCCAAGTTTCTTTCTGAATGGCACTCTACCTTACAGTCTTAGGTGAGAGGATAGATATTGGGTGGAGATACTATCCCCTTACTGACTACTACATTCTTCAGAGTCATGCCGGTCTCTACTGGTGTTACTTCTGATACTATTACACCGTCTCCACCTTCAGTGGATCAGTCTGTCATGTTCTCTAGTCGAGGCAGAGGCCGCGATCATGATCATGATTCAAGGGGGGACGTGGCTCCTTTGGTGGGAGATGGGACGATTCTGATAGGGGCTCGTATCAGTGTGGTCACTGTGGGAGGACCAATCATGTTTCTGAGAAGTGCTAGGAGAAGTTTGGTCGTCCTCAGTGGGCTCAGGTGGCTAACGCCGAGTCGACTCGTTCGTCTATTTCTGCCACTACTTCTGGTGGTCTAGCTGTTATTGTTCTTACTGTTCAGATTTTTTAGGCAGATTATGAGAGATTACGCCAGATAGAGCTCTCTCAGAACAGTCATTCTGCTACTCATGCATCCTCTTCAGGTATGAATGTTTACATAATTTCTCCTTACAAACCCTGTGTACTAGATTCTGGAGTCTCATCCTATATGACAGGTATAAAGGATCACTTTGTATCTTTACATCTTTCTGATAAGTTTCCCTCTGTATTGTTGATGGTACATTTTCTCCAGTTTGTGGTGATGGAGTAGTTCATGCTACCTCCTCTTTGAAACTAACTGATATGCTATATATTCCTAAATTCCCTGTTAGCCTATTATCCATTAACAAGTTTACAAAAACAATAACTATAAAGTCACATTTTCCCCTCTTATTGTGTTTTTCAGGACCTAGTAACTGGGATGACGATTGGTTCAAGGCATGAGAGAGGAGGTATGTACTATTTGGACGACAGTGTGCCGGATGCTGGTCTTGTTACATCACAGCCTGACTCTACCTTACTGTGACACTGGCGTTTGGGTCATCCTTCATTGTAGAAGCTTAGATCGGTAGTTTCTGTTTAGCCATCTGTTTCTTCCTTAGGTTGTGAGTCGTGTGAACTGTGTAAGCACTATTGTGCTACTTTTCAGAGTCATGTCGATAAACGCAGTAGTTTTGCGTTTGAGTTGGTTCATTCTAATGTCTAGGGTCTTATCGTGTTCCCTCTGTGAAAGGCTTTCGATATTTTATTGTCTTTGTTGATGATTTCTCGCGCATGACTTGACTGTATTTGTTAAAAGAGAGATCTGAGGTCTCGCATGTTATTGAACTTTTTTATAATGAAATAAAAACCCAGTTCTCTACTTTTGTTCGTATCATTCGTACTGATAATGCTTTGGAATATATGAAAAATAACATTTCAAAATTTTGTGCACTTAATGGTATTATTCATCAGACTTCTTGCTCTCACACTTCACAACAAATGAAGTTGCTGAGAGGAAGCATAAGACATGTTCTAGATGTTGCTAGAACAACCCAGTTCTCTACTTCTGTTCGTATCATTCGTACTGATAATGCTTTGGAATATATGAAAAATAACGTTTTAAAATTGTGCACTTAATGGTATTATTCATCAGACTATTGCTCTCACACTTCACAACAAAATGGAGTTGCTAAGAGGAAGCATAAGACATGTTTTAGATGTTGCTAGAACACTGATGATACATATGAATATTCCAGAGTATTTGTGGTCTGATGTTCTCACTGCCTGTTATTTGATTAATCGCATGCCTTCCTCTGTTCTTGAAGGTTTAATACCATTCAATTGTTTTTATCCTGATAAAAAATAATTTTTTGTGATTCCTCACTTCTTTGGTTGTACGTTTTGTTCAAGATTTGACAACTGGTTTGGATAAATTGTCTTCTAGATCCATTAAGTGTATTTTTGTTAGATACTCATGTACTCAAAAAATATATAGGTGTTATCATCCGTCCACCAGGAAATATTGTGTATGCTGATGTTACCTTTTTTGAGTATGTCCCATATTTTTCCTCTGATTCCACTATTGTTGACTGTCCACAGGTACTACTACCTTGTTCTGCTCCTACTACTATTCCATTATCTGTTTCTGTGACTCCTGCACCAAAGCCTTTAGTGACAAACTCTCGTCGTCCTAAAGTACATGCACATGTCTCCTGGTGACTCTTCATCTCCAGTTGCATCTCATGTTAAGACTTCTATCTCTTCTAACTTGGATGTCCCTATTGCTCTTCAAAAAGGTAAACGGTCTTGCCCGAAATATCCTATCTCTCTTTTTGTCTCTTATGACTGTCTCACTCCATCCTTTTGTCAGTTTGCTTTGTTCTTGTCCACTGTATCTATACCCAGGTCACATGAGGAAGCTATGTTAGTACCAGCCTGAAAACAGGCTATGGATGAGGAGATGGATGCACTGCTTTCTAGAGGGACTTGGGATTTGGTCTCTTCCTACTGGAGCGACTGTGGTTTGTTGCAGATGGGTGTATACCTTAAAATATCGTCCTGGTGGATCTGTTGACCGATATAAAGCTCGCCTGGTTGCTAAGGGTTATACCCAGACATATGACATTACTATTTTAAAACTTTTTCTTCAGTTGTTTGTCTCAACTCCATCAGAATTCTTTTCTTTGGCTGTTAATATGGATTGAGCAATGTACCAACTAGATGTAAAGAATGCTTTCATTTATGGTGATTTGAACGAGGTTTATATGAAGCAACCTCCTGAGTATGTTGCTCAGGGGGAGAATATTATCTACAGACTGAGGAATCTATAGGTTAAAACAGAATCCTCGAGCTTGGTTTGATAAGTTCAGCAATGTTATTTATAGTGTTGGTTTCCAACGCTGTCAGTCTGATCACTCTATCTTTTTTCGACGCACAACAACTGGTTTGATTATTTTAGCCATATATGCTGATGATATTCTGCTGACTAGGAGTGATTCTATTGCCTTAGCAGAGACTAATGAGTATCTAAATTGTCACTTTATCACTAAGGATATAAAAAAACCTAAGTATTTTCTTGGGATTGAAGTTGCATATAAAAAAACATGACATGTTATTGTCCCAAAGGAAGTATGTGCTAGATTTACTAGAAGCAGGTCTCTTGGGATGCAAACCTGTAAGCACTCAAATGGAGGTAAATGTTAATTTGTGACGTGATGATACATCTCTACTAGATGACGTTGGATGATACAGGAGATTGATTGGGAAGTTAATCTATTTAACAGTTACCAGACCTGATATTACCTTTGTAGGTGTACTGAGCAGGTTTATGCACAAACCTAGAGAGGTTCATTGGATAGCTGTTCTGAAGATTTTGACATATGTCAAGAGTTGTCCTGCTAAGAGATTGCTATATAAGAAGCATGAGCATACTTGCATTTCTGCTTTCTTTGTTACTGCCTATGCAGGAGATATTGGATACCGAAAGTCAACCTCAGGATTCTGTATTTTTGTTGGAGGTAATATTGCGACTTGGAGAAGCAAGAAACAAGATGTGGTATCGCAATCTAGTGCAGAGACCGAATATAAAGCAATGACTCACACTGCTTGTGAGATGATGTGGCTACAAAAGTTTATGACAGAACTTGATTTTGTTCAGCCTGGACCCATACCTATGCATTGTGACAATCAGTCTACCATTTACATTGCTCAGAGTCGTGTTTCATGAGAGGACAAAACATATTAAAGTTGACTGTAATTTTATCAGAGATGCTTAGAAGAAGAAGATAGTCTCTCATATTCACTCCATCCTCATAACAACTTGCTGATATTCTTACCAATACTATTTCTTCAAAGGTATTCTCTACTATATGTGACAAGCTGGGCATGATGGATATCTATACTCCAGCTTGAAGGGGAGTGTTAAATTAAGTCTATTGAGTATTAGGTTAATGGGTTGTGACCCGTTAACCATACCCCTATATATATATATATATATAT